TGTTTTGTGATGAACAAGTGGGGTTCCGAAAAAACAAAACGATTGACATAGCGGTTTTCAATTTTCTTTATACTATACTAACTGACATGGATAAAGGTAAACAGGCGTGTGCGTTATTTATGGATCTCACAAAAGCTTTTGATTATGTAGATCACAGTATATTGTTGGACAAGTTATACGCCTATGGAGTGAGGGGAAATATGCATGATTTGATTAGATCTTATTTAAGCAATAGAACTCAAATAACCCAAATAACTAAGATATGTCCTATAACTAAAAAGGTAGTTAACCACTCATCCTCATGCAGAATAGTCAGGTCGGGCATTCCACAGGGAACAGTGGTGGGCCCACTTCTATTTATTGTATACATAAACGACCTTCCAAAATATTCAAAATACAAAACTGTCCTATTTGCAGATGATAGCACAATACTTTTTACCGGAAATGATAAAATTGATATGGAGACAGAGATAAACATGACTCTCGGAAATATAATAAACTGGTTGACATCAAATAATTTATGTATTAATCTCAGCAAAACTAATTTAATGACATTTAGAAATAGATCGAATAAAATAGCCAATATGAATATTAATTACCAAAGTGATTCGGTTCAAGAAGTGGACGTTACGCGATTTTTAGGACTGAATATTGACAACACTCTAAACTTTAAACAGCACATTGACTCACTTTGCACAAGAGTAAATACATACTCATATGCACTCTATATGCTCAGAAAGACGGTTAGTAGTTCAACTCTTCTTACGGCTTATTATGGCTATGTTGCACCTATCTTAAGGTATTGTGTTATTTTTTGGGGTAACTCCACTAACAAAGACGCTGTGTTTAGAGCGCAAAAAAAATGTGTTCGAGCTATAGCTAATATAAAGCAAACAGATAGTTGCAAACCCTATTTTATAAAACTAAATATACTGACCGTACCGTGCATTTATATATTAGAAGTTGCACTATTTGTCAAAAAAAACCTGCAATGCTTTAACAAATTTAATAGTAATAGATATCAATCTAATGTATATTTTCCAGGCGCTAAAACAGCATTACTTAATAAAAGTATTTTCCGCATGGCGCCACGTGTCTATAATCACCTACCCAAGTCTGTATTGGAGATTTCAGATATAAATATATTTAAAAGAAAAATCAAAGCCCTATTAATGCCAAAAGCATATTACACTGTCAACGAGTATTTGCAGGACATGTTAATGTAAAATATCACTATTTTTATTAAGTAAATTTCTATATCTTGTAAGTTTTGCATGCATTTGATATGATATGTAAACCAATCGGTGTGGAATCTCACACATTTTTGGGCATTGTCCTTTGTATGACATTTTATTTAATCTAATTCATGACATTTTATTTGAGAAATACATTTATTGACATTAAATTTTAATGAAATTGTTGACATTATATTTTGAATTCACTTATATTACAATAATTGTGTTGAAAGCTTGAATTTTGAATGTACTTGATTTTTTTTTCCAAATAACATTGTAAAACTGTAATTTTTGTAAATTTTGTAATTTGCATGCCTCAAGGCGTAATATGGTCGGAACTGTATCTACTTATGTGCTAACAACTTAATTTACCCATATTAGCAAATAAATGATTTGATTTGATTATTAAAATCAGTAGCAGCAAAACTTACGGTTGGCCTGGGCTCACTCTTGAATCCAATTTCGATCGATCGACATTGATATTGTGTCGTACTCTTAAAAACCAGCGCTCATTGCAATCGGTATTGGGTGGATATTGAATTAACTAAAAGGTATTCATAATCCGTACTTCGAACGCTATCATGCTGGGTGATTCTTCATAAAATTAAAAAAAAAATTACGGCCTTATTCTCGTCAACATAAGGTTAACAATGCAGCTGATTAACCTCTTGTATAGCAATATATGAAACAATAGAAAACACATTCGTGTCTACCGTGAATCTCCGTACCATACCACGGGATGAAACACAAAATTTGGTTTCAAGAAACAGAGCCGTGTCACTGCTTTTAACCATACCAATAAACATACAGATGATAATAAATTACTATGGCGCTTAACAACGCGACGCGATAGAATAATAATTTAATAAGAAACACCCAGCGACCATTGGGGTTGTATTAAATAATAATTGTGAACTTACTGGCTGGGATTGGTATTACCAGTATCAGCAGCATTAACAAGGTTCTTGATTCGGTGCAATAATTGTGGAGTCAACAATTTGTCAATCGAAGGCGTAGGCGACTCCAGGTTATCATTACCACGGACATTCATCGAACACTTTGTGTATTCATGTATAGATTTCCTCGCTTTGGAGCACATATCGCACGATGCTTTACATGGTTTAGTATTGACTTTAGCAGCCAAACACGAGCCGGTGCAAGGAACCATAATGCTATATGGAATACAACGCAAAACTAAATTATTTAATTTCTCAGGGGGCTGGCTTTTTTCCTTAGAATATCTCTGGCAAAGGCTTTTAAGTTGCCGTAGTGCCGACTTCAATGGGATTGGTTTTCATGTGCTGTAAAAGAAAAATATTATGGGTTAGTTTATTATTATTATTATATTTTTGTTAATTGATCCTCGATCAAAGGTTCTTGAATAAGAAGTCAAGCAAAAGTACTATTTCTAGTTTTTCCGTTTCGAAATTCACAATTCTGTAGCTAAAAAGGTTACAGTAGACTCAGACTGCCTCGTTGGCTGAGTGGTCGCAAGTGTGACTGCCGGGCAAGGGGTCTTGGGTTCGATTCCCGGGTCGGGCAAAATATTACTCGGTATTAAAAAAAATTTCAGTAGTAGCACGAAGTCTGGAATTGTGCCCGGTATATGGCAATAGGCTCACCCCCTATTAAATGGATAACATAAATAGTAAAAAGTGGATGTTATATTGTACAGTGGCATAATGTGCACCTCTGCCTACCCCTTCGAGGAAAAAGGCGTGATGTTATGTTAGACTCAGATCTCATAATATAAGTTATGAAGGATTTAGTGGCCATGCTTGATATAGTCTCGCTGTGTGACTGCTCACCAGATGTCACTAGTGCGACCCTATCTTTCATCGTGCAATAGGAAATTAGCTATAGTCCATCTGTTTAGGTAATTAACTAAAGGTAAACAAAGAAAACCACGTGACACAGAGATACATAACCTACTATTACTTCAAATATTTCTCGTGTTTTAATTTTAACTAAATTCACTTTAAACTCGTTCATTTGTCATACACACATAGACAACTACAAATGCCTAAATCGTACAAGAGCCTTGCCTATGGGTCTATTTCATTATCATGTTTAAACAGAAACTATTCTGAATCTGATGTACGGATTTCTTTCTTGTACGGATATGTGTCTTTGGGCTAAGTTTCTTCAATATATTTGAACACATTAATTACAAACGATGAATAACCTAAACTTGAATAACTTAATAACAAAAACAAAACAAAGAAACAAGATAAATTCAACAAAATAGGAACGCGAGCGCAAACGACGAGAGAGCTGTCAATGGCGCCTGATTAACCGACTAAACGTAATACACGTTACTATCATTGTCGCGCTACATCTTAGTTGTACTCTTTAATTTGACAACATTATTTTGCTTCGTTCTTAAAGAAAAGTTTTGGATACCTGGGATTTTAGGCTCTTTATGGTGTCTATTGTAATGAAATGTTATACTATTTAATAAATGTTATCAAATTAATATCCTCAAGCAGATATATATAATATTTACTAAGAAATAAGTGAAAAGGAACAGAAACATAACATTTAATAGAGAAAACTGTCGTAAAAAGGGAAACAATTTTATTTTCTTATGAAGTTTTTGAATCATGGAAATGTCAACTATAAAGAACTCTTTTTATGGTTTGTTTACAAATAGTTAACTACCTAAACAGACGGAGTATAGTGTCAACTGCAGTAATGAACCGATAACCGTTGGGGTAGACGTGTTCTGGATTGGAGACCGCGTCTAGGCTAACGTAGCATAGGGCGCCGTCCAGCTAGGTGGAACGAAGATATTCGCAAAGTTGCTGGTAGTGGTTGGATGCGTAGAGCTGAAGATCGAGCTCAGTGGCGTGTCATTGGAGAGGCTTATGTCCAGCAGTGGACGAGGCAACAGACTGTTAATGATGATCCTAGCCTCACTGACGGACTATTATTTATTTTGTATTTGTTAATGTTTCAAAAGTACCAAATTATGGTTTAACTGAAATAAATGCTTTGACTTTGATGAACTGTAGTGATTAGGCAAAAAATCTCTTGCACGTGGCACAGATGTATCTGTGCCATCCGGTAAGCAAAAATACGGTAGCCCCCATTGCGTTGAGAGGGGCGAGTACAATCGTACCTCCTCTGGTGTTGCAGGTGTCTGATCTTACGATCAGGTGATCACCCATATCGTTTGCCATTTTATTCCATAAAGTATGGGAGAGCCATGCTACGGCACGAATGGATCGGACGACCGGAGTGATACCACGGCCGAGCAGAAGACCGACGTGACGTCGGTCCCCCCCCCCCTTCCCCAACACCTGAATTCCAACGATCCTCAAAACCCTAATCCCAAAAGACCGGTAACGCACTTGTAACTGGCGTTCCAGGTGTTCATGGGCGGTGCCAATTGCTTACCATCAGGTGATCCGTCTGCTCGTTTACCGGCTTATCCCATAAAAAATAATAATAAAAAATCATCATCATCATAACATCACGCCTTTTATCCCCGAAGGGGTAGGCAGAGGTGCACATTATGCCACTGTACAATGTAACACCCACTTTTCACTATTTATGTTACGAGTCCCATGTAATAGGGGGTGATCCTATTGCCATATACCGGGCACAATTCCAGACTCCATGCTTCTACTGAGAATTTTTTAAAAACCCAGTAATACTTTGCCCGACCCGGGAATCGAACCCGAGACCCCTTGCCCGGCAGTCGCACTTGCGACCACTCGGCCAACGATGCAGTCAATAATAAAACAGGTAGTACATATTGACTTACATGATTTCCAAACTACTGTCGCTATTCTTGGTAGCCTGCTCTCCCTCGCTGGAGTTGGATCCTCCGGACTCGGACCGCTGGCTGCGACTTCTGTTCTTCTTCTTCTTCTCTTCCTGAGGTACTTCGGTTGAGGTCGCTTCTTCTGACTGCCGCTGCCAGTCGGGAATTGAGGGGGGGTCTGTGCGGGTCTTGAGAGCGGGAAATTGATTCCTGCAGGAGAAAGAATAAGGTTTAGTTTAGTTTGAAATGGATAGATCTGATTTACTACATTTTTAAAACATTCCGAAATCTAAGTCTTTGTAACTGATTAAGTAAGTCATTGCTTGTTGGTAAGTTTATAAACTCCGTTCGCATGTTTACAAAATCTAGGAAAGAAGGAAAATGTATTATTAGCCTTATTTAGTAAATAAATAAAATATAGTAGGACTCTTCCCGCGGATTTCGTATATAGTTAACTACGGGAGTATACATTTTACAGAGATGTGCACCTCTGCCTACCTTCGGGGATAAAAGGCATGATGTTATGTGTATAAATTCTTAATTATTTCCTTTGAAATGCCCACGTTAATGAATCGAATTTTCTCGATAGGTAATCTAAAATTCTAGATTGAAAACTAGGTTGGAGCTTATACTTGATTTGTAGTAGCAAAACTATAGATAACGAAAGTAGGTGATTAGTGTTTATAGTTTGAAATCAATTTATCGGTCAGTCGCCTATTCTATCATTTTAGTCTTCCACTATTAAACGTTCTGCCGTGAAGGGGTAATTTTGGCTACTTTTTATATTTGTCCAATCCGACTTTCCCGACTTCAAAACTAAATTTGAATAATCCAAAAACTAAAAAAACCTAAAGTCCAATGTGGACTTTAAATAATATGAAGTTATAGTTATTACAAAATGTTTCCTTTAACTGCAAATAACTTTTTTGTTTGTAGCTCTAGTGTTCCAAACAATTAAAAAAACCGACTTCGACCCCCTTTCTATTTGAAGTCGCTAATACTAAAACCTTCTCCTAAGTATAACATACCCTTTTCTGAAAACCGCATCAAAAATGATACAGACAATCGCAAGATTATGGGCTTATGTATGTGTATACATACAGGTCCAACTTAAAACGTACTTCTTTATTTGAAATCGGTTAAAAAAAATAAAGTAAGTGATTCCTTACCTAGCAAAATATTACGGGGTAGTAATAAAAGCTCCGACAAGAAAAGAAGAATTGTCCTTACTGAAAATATTAAATCTACTGCCTAAAATACTAACTTTCCGACTACTTTACATGACTGTTTATTGCTACAATACTAACCTAACCTAACCTAAAACGTCTGTTGTCGGTAACTTAGTAATATTGTCGGAGGTTCAATATTCTATTCGGAAGTTCAGTTTTGTTATTCGAAGATCCATTTTTATAGTCGGCCACAGATCGCTGGAGATTAATTTGTTCGGAACCATTATTATTTTCCAATATTAAGCACATGATTTGGTCATGACATGATACTAGTACTACCAGTATAGTCCATCAATTTTAAAACAAAAAACAAATGCTAGGCTTAAAAAATATCTTGAGTTACAAAAACAGGGATATCGTGGTGGCCTGTGGTTGGGATGCCAATTTCTCATGCATGAGAGTGCGGGTTCAAAAACTACCTAGGGCAAGTAGCAATTAGACATTTTCTGTGTTGTGTTGTTTCTCAGATTATTCGGACACCACTGACCATGGTGAATAAAAAAATCATGGGGAAACCTGGGCTTATAATTTGTAATTATAAGTCTGAAATCGCCAACCCACTTAGTAGGCGTGGTGTTGCATCTCAAACCTTTTCCGTGTGAGAAGAGGCTTTGCTCAGCAGTGGGCCCTTATAGTCTGGTCATGTAGATGAATTTGTACAAAAACCGACATTGCGAAAGTGGTCGAAAAAACAAGGACCTGCTCCTTCCATCTCATGGAAAAAATGCTTGTTTTGACGCGACAACGTCTTATAAATTGGTTTGCCGGGTGAAACTTCAAGAAACTGCGTTACGCTCCGCTCACGTTATGCGCTCACAATGAGAGCGAGTGAGAGGCACGCGTCCCTTCCACTCGGGCATGGTTAGCCCGCCTAAGAGCGAGAGAGACAGACATAAAAAGTGCAAGGCACACCACTCAAAGTCGTCACGTAAAACTTTCGCCCGTATACCGACTTTACAGGCAACCAATTTTTTTTGTTTGATAAAAACAAATAACCTTGACTTCGAACTCACCTATTTAACATAATAGACTTGACAGACGTTAACTCCGCCTTGATGCTGTCGACTTGCGATCGCATCGCGCTCTGGTGGACGTTCGCTTGCATTTCAGTGCGCAGTGCCATAAAGTTAGAGTTGAGTATATCGACACTCTTGCGCAGCTCATCGATGCATTCCTCTGTCGTCTTGCGCTTTGGTTGCTGCACGAAAAGGATATGCCTTATGTAGTTCTGTGGAAGAAATATTTAATTGTTAATTCATGGGTTGTTTCATCAAGATAAAGTAATTTCAGAGGCTTTAGTAACGAGTTTGTTCTACGTATAAAGTAAACGAAACGAGACCGGCTTCGGCGCTCGGATTTTTTTTTTATATTTGATGGGGCGACGTTTGACCACTATCCCGCTTAGTGGTAAGCGATGATGCGGTCTACGATGGATCACGTCGTACCATAAGCAACCTATTCACTCGGGCCTTGGAGACACCCAGGTTAGAAAGAGTTATTAAGAATTTCACTAAACAATGGACCCGTTTTGATATACATGATTTATTCCCTCGTTTTAAAATTGCTAACATAGTAGTTAATCAATGTTTCTGTTAAATTCATTTCACATCATCTAAACATTTATCAAATGAATTCGTACCTACATAACTAGGTATCTAATTATTTTTCTATTATCAGAGGACCATTGATAAAGTTAATACGAAATTATGATAAACGATTGTGTTCGCAAGGTCGCAAGTTCAAAAATATATCTTTTTTATTGGCTATAAAATAAATCTTTAGCAACAAGATAATATTTATGTTGAATTAAGATTAATAATGATAGATGACAAAGTATTATGTTTATAAAAATATATTGACACTGACATATTTAAATGGGTCCAATCAGAATGAACCAGGTACCTATTCATCATAAAAATTAAAAACCATTTGATAAGTGAGGGATTTATGTTCAAATACTCAAACACTAGATACTCATATTAAGTCAGGCTAAGTATAATTCTGTCACTACAAATTCGTCGTAAAATGAAAGTAATGACAAAGATTTTTTTTAAAGGGGGAAACTCATCGAATGTGTTGGGTGAGGCGGGACGGAGTTTAAGACTTACTGACAAAAACCACCCCGTTCCTACTCCTGCCCTTCGAGCCGGAGTCCCGGCAACCGGTTAAGTCCTCCGCGACTCCGAATCGGCATCAGCCCTATTGGGCCCCATCCGTGGTGGTCTGATGGCTCTTTGAGCTTATCGAGCCGTCCGCTCGGGAGTAATGACAGAGATGGCACGATATTTAAGCACAACTAAAAATTGAGTAGCCTTTCAGAATTCAGGCATAAAACTCACATTATCATAAAATCATCTCATGAGACATAACTACCACAATCTATACTAATATTATAAAGCGGAAGGGTTTGTTTTTTGTTTATTTGTTTGAACGCGCTAATCTCCGAAACCACTGGTCTGATTTGAACAATTCTTTCTGTGTTGGATAGCTCAATTATCGAGGAAGACTATAGGCTATAAAATATCACGCTACGATTAATAGGCGCCGAGCAGAACGAGTGAAACCGTGCGGAAGTAGCTGGTACAATATAAACTTACTTTGTAAAACCAGTAACATCCATACATGAAGCCTCCGTAAATCAAGATTGGGAGCACATTGTCTCTGAACCACGACCTCCGTGACTGATGTACGAACATGAGCTCTGAAGTCATGGACGGAAGGTCCATCATTTCTGCACATTTTCCTAAAGCCTTTTGTATTTCAGGGTCGGTGAGACCTTTGCCACGTAGAAAGCGTTCCTTGCTTTCCAAGGTGCATCGTTGTACACTTGGATTTGTCAGGAACTGTACCGCTGTTGTTACCTGTGGAAAAACATATAACTTCAGATCCGTAAAGGGTAAAGTAGAGGTAAGAGTAAGAGAGAAGTAAAATCCAATTTTTACATAACATAACATCACGCCATTTATCCCCCAAAGTGCCATCTTGTGAGCAGTCAAACACCGAGACTATATGAAGCATGGCCACTACATCCTTCATAATTATATTATGAGTTCTGAGTCTAATAACATCACGCCTTTTTTCCCCAAAGTGGTAGGCAGAGGTGCACATTATGCCACTGTACAATGTAACACCCACTTTTTACTATTTATGTTATGAGTCCCATGTATTAGGGGGTGAGCCTATTGCCAAATACCAGGCACAATTCCAGACTCCGTGCTGCTACTGAGAATTTTTAAAAACACAGTAAAACTTTGCCCACCCTGGGAATCGAACCGGAGACCCGGCAGTGACCACTGAGCCAACAAGGCAGCGAGTTTTTACCAGTTAAGTTATTATAGTTTGACCAATACAGCTGCGCCATACTGCGCGGCTACTATTCTTTATCTTTAAACGTGGTACAGGCCCGACAAAAGAGGAAAGACATCATCGCACTCTGACAATGAGATTCGAATATCAACCTTATTATGAACTCATATGATCTTCTTTTCCGGGTCTCTGTGTCACATACCTACTGTACCTAGGGCGCGGTATAGCAGTATCGGCAACAGTTAAATTACTTATAGCCCAATTATCCCGAGGCGAGTACTCTAGTATAAGAGTTAGATTTTTTTTAAAACGTTGCCCCGCACCAGGATTTTCTCCTGTGTCGTGGTTTCGTTTACAAACATAAAGTTCACATACACATGACACATAACCCCAAACAACAATTTGTGGATCACACAAAGAGTTGTTCCGTGCGGGAATCTAACCCGCGACACGTTGCACGGCAGCCGGTTGCCCAACCACCGCACCAAGCGTGCAGTCAGTTTAGATTGCGTACTATATGTCTTATTGGAGGTTTTTTAATCACTTCTAATTATGTTAATGTACTTTTACTATTCGTAGTAAATCATATTAGTTTATTTAGTTTTATTATCTATTGGATTTAAATTAGCATTGTGTTTATTGATTGTTTAGTATTCAATGTCAATTAGATTCATAAGTAACTTGTATTGAATTTAATTATTGTATGAACAATAACATTCAACATAGTACAATTGTGTGTGTTGTTTAATATCATAAGATCAAGACATCAAAGTTTTTTTTTTATTGTTTATTGTTTCACTGATTTTTTTATTGTTTAGTAAAGATGCACCTTTCTGATGGTTTTTTTATGGGATAAGCCGGTAAACGAGCAGATGGATCAATGGTGGTAAGCAATCGGCGCCGTCCATGGACGCCTGGAATACCAGAGGCGTTACACGTTCGACCCCAAAAGCCTTTTGGGGTTTAGGAATTTGAGGATTGTTGGGGATCCCAAGGGAGAAGGGGTATAACTGGACCGCAAGTGTTGTTTCACGTCGGTTTTCTGTGAGACCGTGATATCGCTCCGGTTAAAAGAGACGGACCTCTGAGTTTGTTTCGGCATTTCTTCTCAGAGTAGTCAGTTAGGAAATGTGGACCTCATCATTCGCTTGATAAAATTGACTTGTAAAAGTGCTGCCTTGTAGACTATTTGCAGAAAAAAATTCACTTGTTTCACTTGTCGAGCCGGCCCATTCGTGCCGACTCTCCCACACATAAAGTAAATACTGGTAGACATTTTTTAAAACCAGTTCTCTAGTTTTTGTGTACAACAGTACAAACACCTTATATCTTAAATTATTAAGTTTGTTTAAACACACAAATCACCAGAATTACTGGGTGCTACTGGTTCGAATTGAGTCATTATTTTTTAGATCAATAGTCTAATAATCGAGGAAGGGTATTTTTTTTTTTTTTTTAAGGGGGGAAAATCATCGAATGGCTGCTCTCGCCTGGGTGAGGCGGAAGGGAGTGTCAGCCTCTTACTGACTAAAAACCACCCCGTTCCTTCTCCTGCACGTCGAGCCGGAGCCCCGGTTACCCGTTAGGTTCTCCGCGACTCCGAATCGGCATCGGCCCTATTGAGCCCCATCTGTGGTGGTCTGATGGCTCTTTGAGGCGAGCGCGGAACGCGACACGCCGTACGCTCGGGTCTGTTTCTGGTCGGACGGGGAGCCACCCATGCTCATATAGGCTCGTATAGGGTATAGGCTATAAAACATCATTCTACGATACAAGCAAGCAAACAAGCAATAAATTAATTAGTTTAGATTGATTGGTTCACAGCAGCCTAATAACAGCCTATAAATGCCCATTCCCCAATGTGAGTTGGCGATTACAAACTTATAATTAGAAATTATAAGCCCAGGTTTCCTCACTATGTTTTTCTTCACCGTTTGTCAGTGGTGTCTACATAATCTTAGAAAGTACATATAACTCGTCAAAAGTCAAATTGGTACTTTCCAAACCCCTCATGCATGAGAAGTGGGAGTCTTAAACCTAATTGATTGGTTATTAAATTGAAAATTTGAATATATACTTAAATTCAAATGTTTTTTTTTTATTTCAGCATTCCACATTAATTGTATAGACGTAAACAATTCTTTAGGTTTAGATCTTTATGTTTTGTATAGCCAAAAAAAATGCATAAAATAAAACAGAAAAAATCTTTTATTTATTATCGTAACATACCTGTTTGCTTGTTAGCATAAAGATATCTATTATGTAAATCTTGTTAGGATTTTTGGCATAAATTATAATGAGGCTAAGTGCCTAAGCGTGCCAATGTTATGTTGTTAAAAGTGAAAGTGGTGTCATGGCAACACTTTTAATAAAAAAATATACATCATAGGCTTTTAGAATGTATGCGTGATTTTATGTAACGTTTAATATAAATTTATTATTATTAATTTTCTTTTGGAGCTAAAGATACAAATATTGAAATAATAACTATATCGGAATGATTTTTTAATTCAAATAGGATGGTATTGGGCCACCATCTCGCCTAGCGGTAAGTTCCAGAATCTCTATTGCAACTTACAATTGATCATAGAAGTACTTTGGACTTAAGTACTGATTGTAGAATATCTTAAAAAAAAAAATTGTTTTTAGGTCCCAATAGGTAGCTTATTCATATTAGGTAGTTGAATGGGAATAATATATGAGTTATAACAATCAAGTTTCAGATTTATTTACACACACAAAACAATCAATTTCCATTGTTTCATGTTACAGTTCATTGTTTTAAGTTCACACTGGTATTTATTCTGCTCATGTCTCAATCTTTTGGCTGTCTAGATTTGATCTAATTGATGTTTTAGGTAAAATGAGCTTTGTTAACTGGATCTTAGAGATAAATTTTGACCTAGAACATTCTTTACAATCAATATTGCCAAAACATGACCTATTTAATAATGTTATTAATTCACAGTAATTCTGATAAGAATTTTAAGTAGAATGTTTTAGGTATGAATGAACTACGCAAAAATACGTATGTTATTTGAGATACAAGATTAAAATCTTAAAAAGAGAACGTAATAAAAAAATAACAAAGAAATTTTACAGAGGTATCAAACAGTTCGAAGGTCGATCCGCGATCGAACGTAATCTACAAAGTCATGTTACCAATACCATTATATTAACCCAACATGAATATTAATGACAGAAACATGCAATGCTTGTCAAACTAGGTATTAAATTACTTAGTTTTAATACAAAATTAATTAATTAATTACCAAATTTTCTCGAATCTCCGCACCCGCACTCGCCACCGCCTCCGTAGCCATTTTCACTTCAAATAACTAATAAGCGATATAAAAGAAATGTCTAAATTACCAATAATGATTAAAGTGTATTTTAATGTATGCACAGTATAAAATTGAGAAAACACCGACTAAAATCCTAATACCGAAAGACGATAAAATTAATCAATTTTCTTTGACAACCAGGGTTGCCAATGCTAATTCATCAAAATCCCCAAAATTCCTGATCGAATTCCCCAAATTGGGGAATAAAAATCAGCTGATTCCCCACAAATTCCCCTCAAAAGTTTTTTATAAAATAAAACTATAATCAATTATTTAAATAATATTGATTGTTTTAATTTGAAACTGTTAAGCTTCTAATGAATTTGAAACAGATATAATAGAAAATAAAGAATCTCGGAAATCAAATATCTTAATAATGTCCGACGTGAATTCCATATAAAATTCTTAGCATGTCATATAGAAATCTGCAATAGCTGCAAAATGTACCTCGATTTTCATATTTTTTCAAATCTTCCATATTCTCTCCAGCCTTCATGCTTTATGATTTAAAAAAATGTTGTTATCGATAGTAAACGATGAAATATTTTCCAATTTGTGTCAAATGCCAAAAGATGTCAAAATCCCCGCATTTTCCCCACATAATGCCAATCCCCAATAAATCCCCAACCAACTTGAGATTCCCCGCAGTTTGGGGAATTCCCCACAGATTGGCAACCCTGTTGACAACGACAAATGACATTTGATTTGTTCTTTTTTTAGTAGGTGTATAGTCTGCGTACAGATTAAAAAAATCTCAGACACTTAATTTCTGCCCACAAATTACACTTAATTACTGCTACAATACAATGAATGGATAACGAATTAACGAATCTTTAATAGGTAATAAATTGAACTTTGACCATAACAAACAATAATAATGTAAGTAAAAATGTGCATGTTAAAATGAAACGTTAAACGTCAGATGATTATGAATGTCATGAGTCAAATTCTATGTCACTCTTGTCAGTGAGAGTCTGACGTTGATTTATGATTGTCATTTCAAACAGTACATTTTTGTTTGCAAAACATTTTTGGAGATTCTAATGCATTTGTTGTGAAAAATGAGTGATTTTGCTAATGCAACGGAGGCTGCATCTCTAGCCGTCCAATTTGACCAGACTGGACAGACGGATAAAGCTGTGGAATGCTATCGGACGGCGGCTAGACTATTGGATAGGATTCGTGATCGTTTTCCTCCTGAAAAGCAAGAAGATGTGAGGAATAAAGTGCAGGAGTATTTAGAACGGGCCACCTTCTTGTTAGAACAACAAGGTATGCCATAAACAACAGGTTTTTCAAGTCTAGTTAATCTAGTTAAACTGTCAAACACCAAGCGGTCACCGGTGACCGCGACCTATTGTTCTTTAATTGTGTCTATAAAACCGGTACTCGACGAGTTAATCTAGTATAAATGTAGCATGTTTTTTTGTTTAGTTTGGTCTATGACTCATATGGTCCTAACTGTGTATTGTATACACACTGTGGGTTTTCAATTTAATCACCAGGTGATATCATCGTTCTTTTTTGTGCAATCGAGTTTGAATGCTATCTTTGTGGTTGTGATAGCTACATTGTTACCAAACTTTATTTCTGTGTAAATAGTATACTATAAATAAAGACAAATGAAATGTATTGTATTCAAATATTCCGTAATGCAATAAAGTCATAGACACTATTTTTCTTAATTTCTACATACTTTTGTTTGATTTACAATCTACTTAATATTTCATAGTTATAATGATAATAATTTGTTTACCAAGTAATTATTAGAACAACTTGAATTTGTTGTGGTCTCGTTAACAGATAGAGCCCAGCAAGCAGAATGTGAGCGAGCCATGCAACAGTGTTACTTCCTCATGCAACAAGCTCTGGATGCAGATGAAGCTAATCTGAAGGATAATGCATTAAAATTATACACACAAGCTGTGGAATTAGCCGTTTCGGTTGTGAGTATACTTTATAGCATTTGACTTTCAAAACCACTACTAACCATTTATGGATACCAGAAATGTCATATTCTTTTAATTTATTAATTTAAAACTGCCTTTTATTACTGGTCTAATTGGAATAAATTATTTTGATTTCGACTTTGGCAAAATAGTCTTTCTTTGAGACTATTTAAGTTTGTAATTTTAAGTTGTGCTTAAGTATAGTTCTGTCACTACAAATTCTTTGTAAAATGACAGATGTTGCACGATATCTGAGTAGAACTTGAAATTGAGTAGCCTATCAGTATTTGGGTGTGAACCATATAAATTCCTTCTAATCAAAAAACATATTACTAATACGAGTAACAAATTGCTGCTGCAATTCTAGTTAGGTGTTCCACAAGGTAATATTTTAGGACCAATACTTATTTTAAGAGGAACATTTTTTCGCAGAAATCTAGTGACCCTGAAGTGCAGACAAAGATTAAAAACTTAGCCGGACAAGCACTTGACAGGGCAGAGGAGTTGAAAGGTATAAAGCGGATTGGTTCTCTTTCTATCAATGAACCAAGAAAGCCAGGTAAATTGTTAACATGACACTTTCAAGATCTTTCATTTATTTAACTATAAATCGCGGGTTACACACGTGAATATACTGAGAAAAGCTCTACTTGTTTCGAACGACAGAGGGGTTCTTCCTCCTCGCGCCTGTGTTGGGCAGCCTAGCCCGCGATTTTCAGTTATTTAGTATCTCTCACGATAGTTGTTATAAAACTTTTATTGTATAGTCATTATTCTTCTGAAAATAAGAGAGCAAATTACATTCAGACTTGTTGTTTCTTTATTACAGTTGTATCTCCAGTTAGACCTGTACTACAACGGGACCAAAGCATACATTTAAAAGTAAGCGGAAAACAAGCCACATACTCCGAAGAAGAAAAAGAGGTTTTACGTACAACTTCTAATATAAATAACAACTGTTTTCTACCATTTATGGATGTGGATTTGACGGAGAAGTTTCAATATGCTATTCCGTTTGAGGATAGAGCCAGTGAATTAAAGTTGTCTTCTAAACAAGAGAGGGAGTTTGACACTTGGGTGAGACCGCACGAAATCTGCACTGACCCTAAAATGGTTGTTGGAGATCATGTTGACTGTTTTAGTATTAAGCAGACTGTGAGTATAATTTATCGATAATATTATTCATTAACAAACACAGTAATTGCCTCATTAAGTTTAGCATTTTTCTTTCTCTGTTTGACTTTAATTACTTTACTTTTATGTTTGTTAATATTATTATTATTATTTAATTCAAGCAGACAGTTGGGATAACTGATACATGCTCGTATCGTATTTTTCTATTGGTAGTTATTTCGATGTCATATATCAGTCAAGTCAGTTTTTGAACTGGTTAACATTCTGTGCAGCGATTACATCTTCTGGTACTTTGTTCTATGCTCTGACCACGCGATGACTTAGAAAGTGTCTATGAGAGTTATAGAAACTAATATGTTATTATTATGTTTGGGCTTACTCACGTAACTGTTTGACGAGGAACTCGACTAGTTAGAGGCTCATATTCATGACCAGTATTCCGCGACCCGCGACGCGGCGACTACTGCTGCTACTTTTAACACTATGTATTGGCATATGCTTTTTTTACGAGCATACGGATCACCTGATGGTTAGCAATCTGCGTCGCCCATGGATACCTGGAACTCCAGAGGCGTTACAAGTGCGTTACCGGCCTTTGGCGGATTAGTTGTTTGAGGATCTTTAGGGATTCAGGGATTTGGGAATTGGAGGGGTAATTTAAATTTAATTTGAATTATGTGGGCAAAGGCTAAAAGCCGTTCCAAATTAACTCATTCTTAACACGTTAACCGCCACGTAGGTCATCTACGTTTGCCTTCAACAGTTTTTTGTCAGCAGTCAAAGGCTTAATCAATTTCCACTGTTTTCAATAGTATTGCTTCTATCTTTAGTAATAAATAATCCTTACTAATATTATAAATCGGAAAGTGAGTTTGTTTGTTTGTTCCGCCTTCACGCCGTAACTACTAAACCGATTGCTTTGAATTTTTGCAGACGTAAAGTTAGAAGTCCGGATTAAATAAAAGGGTACTTTTTATCCCGGAACAATTGATATTCTCAAGGGAAAACAAAAGTATTGGTATAGATGGCGCTGTATGTATTGGTATATGTAACATAGGCTACTTTTTATCCTTTTGTGACGTGAGCGAAGCCGCGGGTAAAAGCTAGTTAATAATAAAATATTTAGTACTAAGAAATAAAATTAGAAATACAACTCCATTTTCAGATAGTATCAGACTGCTCATTCGTGGCCTCTTTGGCAGTGAGTGCGTTGTATGAAAAGAGGTTTAACAAGAAGATCATAACGTCTATTATTTACCCTAAAAATAAGAGCAAGTCGCCCATCTATAATCCCTTTGGAAAATATATGGTTAAGCTACATTTGAATGGTGTTCGGAGAAAGGTAAGATTTTTAGTCTGTTTATTTAAATTCAGTATTGATAAATTACTGCCTCGTTGGCCGAGTGGTCGCAAGTGCGACTGCCGGGCAGGGGGTCTCGGGTTCGATTCCCGGGTCGGGCAAAGTATTACTGGGTTTTTTAAAAATTCTCAATAGTAGCACGGAGACTGGAATTGTGCCCGGTATATGGCAATAGGCTCACCCCCCATTACATGGGACTCATAACATAAATAGTTGAAAGTGGGTGTTACATTGTACATACAGTGGTATCATGTGCACCTCTGCCTACTCCTTCGGGGATAAGAGGCGTGTTGTGTTGTGTTATAGCAGGCAGAATGGGGAAACATTTTACCTAAAAATATAACAATAAATAATTTTCTTCTGTTTCAGGTGATTATAGATGACAGGTTACCGTATAGTAGACACGGGCGGCTCTTGTGTTCGTACTCCAGTAATAAGAACGAATTTTGGGTCTCTTTGCTGGAGAAAGCGTATATGAAAGTAATGGGAGGCTATGACTTTCCTGGCTCGAATAGTGTAAGTTGATTTAGAATACTTTAATTGGGTACTTTCCTTAATGAAAAATAATTATTTCGACTTTTAGTAGTACTTTTATGAACAACGTAATTTTAGTACCTTTCCAGCATTTTTTTTAAGAAATAAGTATGTTGTTTGACCCTAAAAATATTTGAAAAATTTTATGTTAAATGGAATTATGTGAAACTGATGAAAGTATGCCGTAGTGGCCCGCAGGTTTAAGACGCCCGCTTCTCATGAATGAGGGTGCCGGTTCGAAACCTTCCAACGGCTAGTAGCAATGTGACTGTTTCCGAGTTATAATAATTATGTACTTTCTAACATTATTTAGACACTGACAAACGGTGAAGGAAAACATCGTGAGGAAACCTGAACTTATCATTTCTAATTATAAGTTTGAAATCGCCAACCCGCATTGAGCAAGCGTGATGATTAATGTTCAAACCTTCTCCGTGTGAGAAGTGGCTTTGCTTAGCAGTGGGCATTTATAGGCTGTTGGTGATGATAAAAGTTCTATGCAATTTGAAACTATATTATGAAACTATAAAGTCGAAAATCGGCTTAATGAAGTCAGTTTGAATTTGTTAATTTAAAATTCACTCTGCATCAAAGACACGCACCTGATCTTATATCCTTTTTTTTAGAACATAGATCTCCACGCCCTAACAGGGTGGATACCTGAGCGCGCAGCTATTAGAAATGGCGAGGCAGACTTCAACGCGGACGCCCTCTATGAGAAGATTAGGACGCGGCTGGAGAAAGGAGATGTCCTAGTGACCGTGGCTACTGGACCACTGTCCGATGCTGAGGCAGAACGGACCGGATTGGTGGCTACTCATGCTTACGCTGTACTTGATGTTAGGTTGGCTAATGTAAGTGTGATCCTTACTTATAATATTATAAATCGGAAAGTGAGTTTGTTTGTTTGTTCCGATTTCACGCCGTAACTACTAAACCGATTGCTTTGAATTTTTGCAGACGTAAAGTTAGAAGTCTGGATTAAATAATAGGGTACTTTTTAATCCGGAAAAATTTAATATTCCCGAGGGAAAACAAAAGTATTGGTATAGATGGCGCTGTATGTATTGGTATATGTCACATAGGCTACTTTTTATCCTTTTGTGACGCGAGCGAAGCCGCGGGTAAAAGCTAGTATTTAAATATATAAAAAAAAAACGTTACCCCTCATTAGGATTTTCTCCTGTGTCGTGGGTGCGTTTACAAACATACAAGTTCACATATACATGACATCCAGACCCGGAATAACAATTTGTGGATCACACAAAGAGTTGTTCCGTGCGGGAATCGAACCCGCGTCACGTTGCGTGGCAGCCGGTTGCCCACCCACCACACCAACCGTGCAGTCATATTGTTTAGGCTATCGACTTGACTTCGGGTGAATATTTAACAGGCTTTTTACATAATAACTTACTATCGTATTAAATTGAATGAACGTACCGGTTTATTTACAAATATCACCTACGCTGCGTTACATCGCCACGTCCGCACCCTTGCTCACGAAGAAGACTCCTACTGCGCCTTGAAAGTAGTAAAGCTTTTTTCAATATTTACGTGCGTAAACCGGTATTTTTAATGAATTTTGGTGTATAAAAACGAAGATACTTTAATTAGTTTAATATAAATTATGATTACACATAGTGTAATAAATATACACGTACGACCTTCAAACCTTCAAGAAAAGAGCGTATTCCTTTTTAAAAGGCCGGCAACGCACCTGTCCTCTGGCGTTGCGGGTGTCCATGGGCGGCGCTGATCGCTTACCATCAGGTGATACGTCTGCTCGTTTGCCTCTTATTCCATAAAAAAAATAAAAAAGAACTTGCTTAGCTAGCAAGATTTAACAAAATTTCCCATCCAAGTATTAGATCCATTTAACAAACTTGTAATATAGTGATGCAATTATTGGGCTACCCTATCGAAGCAGTAGATACTATAAATTATAACGACAGTGAAGTGCCATATAAAAAAGTATGATTTCTTTTGTAGGGTGTAAAACTCCTAAAACTAAAGAACCCATGGTCCCATCTCCGTTGGCGGGGTAACTATTCAGAGTTGGACCTTGCGCACTGGACGCCATCTCTCCGTGGACTCCTGAACTACGATCCCGATAGTGCTGCGCAGTATGATAATGGCGTGTTCTGGATAGATTACGCCAGTATACTAAACTTCTTTGATGTTTTCTACCTCAATTGGAACCCTGAAATGTTCCAGTACACTTATTGTATACATCAGTAAGTTTTATTCAATTATTTTCAATTTTGAAACCCCTTTTATTATTAGTTATATCAGTATTTATTTAATAACATTTTTTTTTGTCATCATGAACGAATGTCATGTCAAATTTTAAGGTTTTTGTTTTAACTAAAGGATTAAAATGATACTCGACTTTTCGACCACAAAACCTCTTCTCAGACGGAGAAGGATTGAGCATTAATTACCACGCTTACTCAATGCAGGTTGGCGATTTCAAACTTTTAATTAGATATTATAAGCCCCGATTTATTTACGATGTTTTCCTTCACCGTTTGTCAGTGGTGTCTAAATAATCTTAGAAAGTACATATAACTCGGATAAACCCACTTTGATACTTGCCAGTGGTAGGTTTCGAACCCGCACCCTCATACATGAGAAGCGGGCACTTACACTTCCTCCCGCCTGGGTGAGGCGGGAGGGAGTGTCAGACTCTTACTGACTAAAAACCACCCCGTTCCTTCTCCTGCACGTCGAGCCGGAGCCCCGGTTACCCGTTAGGTTCTCCGCGATAATGGAACAGTTAGCTTTCTATTATACAAAGAACGACTTTATAAATTTATTCAGTGGTCGTGGTGGCCTAGAGGTTTAAGACGCCCGCTTCTCATGTATGATGGTGCGGGTTCGAAACCAGGCGGGAGCAGTCCATTACTTGTCTTACGTTTCTAATCAATTCACTTTTTGTTTCTTTCAACATCAAAATATTCTAACCAAGAGTTCTAATCCACAGAAAATGGGACGCCGGTACGGGTCCAGCGAAGGACGCCTACAACATCGGCGAGAACCCACAATTTTCTCTACACGTGCAAGGAAAGGGCGCCGTCTGGTTACTGCTCACCCGACATATCACACAGATTGATGATTTCAGAGACAACAAGGAGTATATCACGCTTTTGGTGTATAAAAACGGGAGGAGAGTTTATTATCCTTGTAAGTTGTTTAACCAACCAAATATCAGTATTTTAAGATTAGATGATTTAACGATTTATTTATTTTTTTGTTCTGAATACGGTGCAGACCATGTCAAAGTCAATGTCAAAGCATTTATTTCAATTAAACCATAATTTGGTGCTTTTTAAAAGAACAAATACAAAATAAATAATAGTCTGTCAGTCAGTCCATCAGTAAACTAGGTGAAGCTAGGCGCTCATTCCAAAATGAAGATTTGAATGGAGAAGAACGATCAAAAACTTCGATTCATATTTTTTTTACGAGTCTACGTTTGACCACCGTCTCGCCTGGTGGTAAGCGATAAGCGATGATTAATCTTAAGTGAATTTGAAGTCTAAATTGTATTTATCCAAAATTAATTCTTGATTACATTTCTATGTCCTTTAGAGGTATGGACACACGTTTCTGTAATATTTGTAATCCTTATTATGTCTTAATCTTATGTCTTTTCTTAAGAAAGTTATGCAGGGATCTGTGAGTTTACTATTATACCGACTTCAGTTGTATAGGAATAATCAACAAAGTAAAAAAAAATATATATCCGATCATAAGTACGCCATTATTTGGTTATTACAATAAAAATGTCAATTTTAACTAAAATCATTTTCCAGACGACCCTGAACCTTATAAAGACGGCATAAGGATCAACAGTCCGCACTACCTCTGCGAACTGATTATCGGCGAAGGCAGTGCTGACAAATACACACTAGTTGTGTCTCAGTACGAAAAGAGTAAAACTATATTCTATACTCTGCGTGCGTACGCGACCTGTCCGTTCACATTGAGCAAATTGGAACCGTATCCGTATAAAAAGACTGTAAGTATTTATTTAATTACTGATCAACTTCTCAAAAATAAGGTTTATTTTCATAAAAATGAAGAATTCAATGTTTCTATTATGTAATAATAGTTGTAATCAACCACTCAAGGCTGATGTATGAATACTACGTAAAAATACGATTAATATTGTAAAAACCTTATTTGTCGTTTTTTGAATAAAAGGTTGAAAAATGTATTGTGCAACTGAAAATAGAAACTGTTAAAAAATACATATGTTCAAATGAATCCAATAAATCCGCCCAAAGTCCAGTTTCTACCGTGCATTGTATAGCAATAAGATTGCATAAATTATTTTTTTCGTATCTCGTGATAAAGTATCTTATTAACTACTTAGACTCTTAGACTATAATATAAAGTGGAAGAGTTGGTTTATTTGAACGCATTAATCTTTATTATGTTAACGCAAAAATTCTTTATTATGTTGGATAACCTATTTATCTATAGCCTATAGAGGAAGGCTATAGGCTAAAACTATAAAACATCACGCTACGATCAATAGGCGCCGAGCAGAGGGGGTCAAATCGCGCGGATTTAGCTAGTAATGATATATTTAGTTCAGTTTTAACACCTTTTTTCACAAAATTCGTATTTTCCACAAATAATAACATGCCTTTCTTTACAGCTCAAAGGCGAATGGACACCTCGTACAGCGGGTGGTTGTGAGAACCACCGCGCTACATATCCAAACAACCCGAAATTCATCATCACGGTCCCTGACTCCAGAACTCCTTGTCACATTGTCGTGGAACTAAAAGGACCCAAACAGTACCAAATGGGAGTCGACGTAAGAGTCGAGTCCTTAGATGATCCTAACGTCACTGCACCGTTCTTAAAGGAGTCTTCTGGACCTTATAGGTGAGATTTTAAGGCTTATTTTCCATTGGTAGGATTTTGTTTCTAAGTCAAGCTGCTGCGCTGTTCTTCAAGGAGTGTTCTGGACCTTATAGATGAGGTTTTAGGGTTTATGTTTGCTTGGCATGATTCTTAGCATGATGCAATATAGCCGTAGAACTAAAAGGTCCCAAACAGTACCAAATGGGAGTCGACGTAAGAGTCGAGTGCTTAGGTGATCCTAACGTCACTGCACCGTTCTTAGGAGTCTTCTGGACCTTATAGGTGAGATTTTAAGGCTTATTTTCCATTGGTAGGATTTTATTTCTATGTCAAGTTACTGCACTGTTGTTAAAGGAGTCTGCTGGACCTTATCCATGAGGTTTTACGGTTTATTTTTGCTTCACATGATTCTTAGCCTCTTCTCTGTTGAAAATACGCTACGACGCTATAAATAAAAAAGGATCTTTCCTACATATGTTTATGGTATTTGTATTTTCTAAACCATACTTATCATCCACAGGGCTGGTTTTGTTGTCCTAGAACTACGCAGTTTACCGGCAGGCCGGTACATTCTGACTCCATCCACATTCTACCCAGGACAAGAGGGGCCATTCTTCTTAGAACTTCGGTCCACCTGTCCAATCACATGCGAGGGACGTAACTAGCGAGCGAGCAGGGTGAAAGAAGACGATTACAGGTTTTAATATGGCTTTTATATCGATTAATTTTAATGAATTTGAATGTTTTCAAACAGATTAAACTGTCGTGTGTAATTTCGATGTCGATTTTAATCGATTAGATTGGGTATAGATTTTAATCGATTAAAGTTAAATATCGATTTAAATCAATCAGAGTTTGATACTACTTTGTACTGATTGGAGAATTTAATTTGATATTAAAATAAAATTTCATTTAGTGTCGATTTAAACACAATATAGTCTAAAATCAACTAAGAATTGCAATGACAATAGAGTCGAAAATCAATTGAAAATCATATCGTATGAATAAAAAATCTATTAAGGAAAAGCGACTTAGGAATTCAATTCTAGTCTTTAGTATTTGCCTTTTTATAAACAAACAAATATATAATCGATATTTAAGCCGTATCTTTAATTAAAATTGTAAATAAACGTTTTTATAACGGTGTGTTCATCACAATCATTATTTGTTACATTTAGATCATAATATAGTAACTAAAATGCTTTAAATAGAATGTTGCTTAATGAAATGCAAGTTTATTCATGTTTTAAATATAAGGGACGAAAGATGACTATGAGTTATAGCTACATTTAAAGACTTTTACAATGTCTAATTGGATACTTTCCATGGTCAAAAATACATTGTTTCGATTTTTTATTTAAAAAGAATAAAATAATAAAAAATAATCAGCCGTTAATTTAAAATAAATAAATGATTCTACGACATCATTAATTTTCCTAATTTTCTAGGTAAGTTTTAAGAAATAATTATGCTATTTGACGCTAAAAAAATAATACGTCACAATACACAATCTCGTACAAAAGTCATAGAAAACTGTCGATTTTGACAGTTCAAATCATCGACATATACTAATGGACATGCCGTACGCGTATAATCTGCAGTAATTTTTTGGTTTGAAAAGAATGAGAGAGATGACCTATGCTTTCGGTGTAGCGCCATCTCTTTCTCGCTCATAACGTCTTAACTACGGTACTATTTTGAGAGAGATAAAGATAGACCGAAACTTCGTTTCCTCTCTTTCTTTCGGAGTGCCACAATTCTCATCTCTAAGGCATGTCTATTTGTATTATGTCGATGGTTCAAATAAGCATTGAATTTGGCTAGTTGTCATGTAGCGTTTTCTGATCTTTGATTGCACGGCAGTGGCTGTGCTCGATGCCCACACGGAACAATACGGTAGTTGACAGGTTCAATACTTTTATTGAAATGTCAAAGACGATACTTTTCTATGAATTTTATATTGGATCGCAACTTATGACGTCATCATATTTCTGCGTCAAATAGCATACTTATTTCCTTAAAATTAGCGAGAAAATATCCAAAAGTAGGTAAATTTTCAAATCAATGGATAAGAGTATGATTATTTTTTTATTATTTATTGCATTGAAATGTTGAAACAATTTATTTTAAACCTAAAACTAGCCAATTCTTTGTGTGATCCACAAATTTTTGTTCCGGTCTGAGTGTGATTAGACGTTGTGAAAGGCCTTTAATATATTTTCTATTATTTTTGATTTTAATTTTCGCTTTTTGAAGCTTTTATTGTATTTTGTAAGGGCTTGTTTTTTGTATAGTCGACAATAATGAAGTGATGTACCGGATCTGTGCCTTTAAGATTAACGTACATATTATGTGACACATCACAATTTTAATATATTAAAACAATAACATGCTGTAGTATAGGTCCCGTGATTTTTACAAAATTGTTATTCTTTATATCTTACTGGTATTTTTTTAGTTGTCAAACTATCTATCTTCACACTCGAACAAAATTATGTGTTTATTAAAAATGAACTGACAGAAAATCAATAAAATTAATATTCGTACTTTGAAATGCTAAAATGTTAAAACAACTTTAAAAATTCAACTCCCCATTATCAAGTAACATCTCAAAAACAAATATTTTGATTAAAACCTTTTAGAAGTTCAAACATTATTAAGAACAAAAAATAAACCATCTTATTATTCCCCATTTAAGTGTTTTTTCTCTCCAGGGTATTTCAAAGGCTTCAATTTTGTCACTTGTTAGACGATAAGCGACAGAATGGGATGTCCACAGGGACTAAGAAATGGTTTTCAATGTGGAAAAAGTTCTCGATACCTTTTAATGTGTTGATTTTATTTTGGCATTTATCGTCGATTTATCGCCAGTGACTTTTATAATCACAAAAGTATTCAAAAATTAGTTAAAAAAGCAGATTATTTAAATATGATTTTCAAAACTTAAAGTTCCCAATCGTCTAGAGAAATGAGTAAAAAGTTCGATTGTCGATCCTTTATTATTCAAATTGTTATTTTTTTGTTTTTTTTTTAATTCAAACATTTTTATATGAAAATATACTATAGTTTGTTGACTTTTATTTTCTTTGTAGGCTTTATAGCTTCTTGCTTGAAAATGCTTACTATAACAAAATTGTAAAATATAACGAAGTGAAAAAAATATTAATAATAATTAAGTCGGAATATCTAATCAAAATTGTATTTGTCCTTAAATCAGTAGAATAATGATGTTAAACATATGAAGTTATCATAAAATATATTTGTATTTTTCAAAAAGTCCATAATATTATTGTACATAAAAAGACGACTATTTATTTATTACCTAATTTTGTTAGGTTATACGGCTTACTCACGAGGTTCCTCACCTAGTTTCTAGCTAAATTGAGGGCCTTTAGGCTAGGGATTTTTTATTTTTTTTTTTAAGGGGGGAAAATCATCGAATGACTGCTCCCGCCTGGGTGAGGCGGAAGGGAGTGTCAGACTCTTACTGACTAAAAACCACCCCGTTCCTTCTCCTGCACGTCGAGCCGGAGCCCCGGTTACCCGTTAGGTTCTCCGCGACTCCGAATCGGCATCGGCCCTATTGGGCCCCATCTGTGGTGGTCTGATGGCTCTTTGAGGCGCGCGCGGAACGCGACGCGCCGTACGCTCGGGTCTGTTTCTGGTCGGACAGGGAGCCACCCATGCTCGCCGTCCGCAGGCCCGCGCTTAGGCTAGGGATAGCATGGCTTGAAATTAATCGAGTCACCGCGTCACACAGAGTGAGTAAGCCGCATATAAATGAATTTAAGATGTCTCGTGGTAGTTATAAAACAATATTATTTTAATAGTTATCTTAAAGATCTGTGTATAGTAGTACCGTGACCCTGGAGCCTAATTTTATAATGGTTGTTGACAAATAAGATCAAAATTAAATGTTAAGTTAATTTCAAAATGTCGTGACGTCTTTATTGATAATGTCGAAAATGCCTGATTAATATTGTTATGTTAAATGAAACATCTGATCTGTATTTAAATTTCGCAGCTCTTTATTGAATAAGTTGGTAAACTTTTATTATGATAAATAATTAATATTTGAGCTTGTTAGTAATACATAATTATAATTTTTGAGTTTGTTAACGAAAGAAATGATTAATTCTTATGTTTTCGGCTCACTCCCGCAACTCGCTCAGATGCAGCGCCGCGGGTCGCGGAATGCTGCTCATGAATATGAGCCTCTAGCATGGCTTGAAACTAGTCGAGTTCCTCGTGAAGTAGTTGCGTGAGTAAGCCGAAAACGTAATAAGTAATTTAGTATGTCTCGCGAAAGTTATAATACAAAAAAAAAAACGATTCAGAATTAAGGTTTTGATTGCTATTAGAATACTGTTGTAGGTGATTCTTTCGCTAATGATGGTCACCTGTGACGGTAGTAGTGGTTTAAAGCCTCTTAAGCTTCGCCTCCTGTCTTCGCCCGCACAGTTACGCGTTTCGCATGCAAACACATCATCTCGCTCCGCTGTGATAATTTAGTTGTTTAAGGTAAAATCACAGTGTATTAATATAATAAAATATTATGTAAAAGATCTATTTTCTGTTTATAAATATGTTATGTTAATTATTGTAATAAAATATTTTCAATAATTTTGGTCTTTAATTTGTTGTGTAAATTTAATTTGTAGTATGGGTTTTTAAAAAAATCTCAGTCGTAGCACGGAGTCTGGAATTGTCCCCGGTATATGGCAATAAGCTCACCCCCTATTACATGAGACTCATAACATAAATAGTGAAAAGTGGGTGTTACATTGTACAGTTGCATAATGTAATAAATTGGGCCTCCGATAAAAATATAGTAAGTTTAAAAATACACAAAGTCAGATGTGTTTCCCCTATCCCTTTATGTATTAATGCAGCGCTACTTTTTTTTAAAAGAAAATATTGTTTCTGCTATTTAATTTACCTAATACCGTAGTTACCATAAAACACTCATGGCCAAATACTCAAAAGCTACTCAATTGTATAGTTCTGTTACCACAAATTCTTTTCAAAATGACAGAGATGACACGATATTTAAGTAAGTAGCCTCTCAGTATTCGGGCGTAATTAATATGGGAACCATGCTTTTAATGATAATTCTGAATCTCAAAAGTATAATGTAACTTTAATCCTCGACCAACAAACCCCGACCTGTGTCAACAAGCGTTTAGTAAAGAGATTATGACTAATTAAACGTATGGCAACCCTAACCATTTTAAGCAAACGTATGGCAACACTCACCCGGGTTTGTGTACGCTCGAGTTCTACTATTAACCGGAATTGAGTGGGGATATTACCCGGAGTTGTTTATTTTGGACCTGGATTTATATTAGGATTGTTACTGAATTAATTTTTCTATTTTAAGATTCTAGAATATCTACCTAATTAAAAGTCATATCTAGAGGGTGTAAACGGAACGCTCCGGAAAACGCCGATAGGTGAAAGGAAAAATGAGTTTTATTTTTAAAGAAGTAAGGAATTAAATGTTTTTTTAATGTAATAATAGTTGTAGTCAACTGCTCAAGGCTGAAGTCAGAACAATTCCTTTTTGTCAGCGGTGTGCGAGCGTTTCGTATATTTATATCCTGTATTGGAAAAGTAAACATAACACAGGCATTAACAGGATTGATATTGAATTGACATAAAGTCA